CTATAAGGATATGGCATTCTCTGCCTGAAGAGGTGGTTTTATCAGAGTCCATACAGATGTTTAAACAGAAATTGGAGTATGCTTGCAAAAACATACAGGGATAGAATTTCTGATTAGTGGGGTAATAGCTGCTTGACTCCTGACTGCCATTTTGGGGTCAAGAAGGAATTTTTTTCCTAGTTTGTAGCAAAATTAGAAGCGCTTCAGACTGGGTTATTTGTCTTTTTTTGGTTCAACAGCAAAAACATATGTGAGGAAGGTTGAACTTGATGGACGCAAGTCTCTTTTCAGTTATGTAACTATGTAACTATGTAACTGTCCTTGGGTGTCTGGCAAAAGCTAGTTACATACTATAAAGAAAATAAGAATCAACATGTACAACTAAATTGAATCCAATATTTGTCTTTGTATTTTTGTCTAATTGTGTTAATATTATTCTTACCATATATTTATACAGGAACCAGGAAGAAAATAAAACCATACTGGTATCTCAAAAGGCACTCAATTACACAATATAGGGTACAACTTTTATGGGGGTTATAGTTTTATTCTGTGTTGTGGCTGATGTCAGTTTTATTTATTTTTATAGTTATTTTTTTAAACAGAACTTCCCATCTCATAGTAATGAAACTATTATCAAGAAATATAAAAAATATATAATGCAGTTATTATGATTTATTGGCAATAGTAATAAACAGTTTAATGAACCTTTATGAGGTGATAAAACCAATGGATAGAAAAAGCAATACCTTATAACTAGGTTAATTCACAATGAGCAGTTATCCCTAAATGTTATTTAGAGATGGGTCTCACAGACATTCAATCATTTCCTTTGTGAAAACCAATTATGGCCTTGGCACAAAATTCACACCATTAATTTTTATTGCTTTACCCAATTGGAAAAGAGCTGTGGTGGTGTAAATGTACTGCAATTTAAAAAACAAACAAACAAAAAACATTAATTTTAGATATCAAGTTTTTATATCATAGTTTTGTATTTCGATATGGCACTGTTTACTTAACCAGGAATTGTGAATCAAACACGTTATTGATAAAAAGGAAACATGACATGTTTGAATGTTTGATGCCATAAAATATATTCAATCCCCTGCCGTCCAATCCTTCCAATTCTGCAACATTAATCAGCTGGTCACCAATCAAGCATACATAAAAAGGTAACAGTACACTTAACATAAAGTTGGCATGTCCACTTGCTGGTAGGAGTGAAAATGATATCCCTTGAGGGAGAGAACAAGAGGGCCGTGCTGGAGCCAAAGATCTGTCAGACATGAGTCTAAAAGAAAACCAAGAGAGATGGTAAAAGTAAAGAGATGATAGAATGGAAAATAGAGATGGAAAGATGGTTGTAGAGAATTGACAAGAGAAATGTAAATTTAGACACAATAGGCAAGTTGAAACCAAAAGAAACCCAAAACATTCTTCAACGCAATAATATTACTAGATTGGGTATTTGGCCTAACATGTGCACAATTACTTAATCAATTTTCTACAATTTATAGTTTAGTGAATAAATACAAAAGTGTTTTAGCAGGAAGAATACATAGAGAATTTAGTTCATTTTTTTCATACATATACCAGAAAGCATTAATAATGAAGTATCAATACAGAATCACAAATTAAAAAAGATATACTGAGGCGAGACCTAGTGTCGGAGCAAGAAGGATGCCAAACTGAAAAGCTCCTGCATTTTTTCCAAATTTTAGTCACTAACTCATTACACCCTTTACAGCACCAAATCGACTGGATACTTACCTCACGGCATCCAATTCTGACCCGATGCCATTCCTCTTAGGCCCGGCATGCAAAAAACAGTGAAGAAGCTCCGGCACCTACCTCACATATAAGCTAAGAGGTGCCTTGTGTCCGACTGCGGGAGCACCTAGTGGTGAGTCATTCTCACTGTTGGCAGCACCAAATAAACTTGATACAGTTTGCAGAGATGGGCCGCAAGAAGCCAAACACAGGTGTCCAAGCTGAAAATCAAGATATTGGCACTTTCACCACCGCTCTGCTCTCAAAATGGCAGACACACAAAAAAAGTGTGATGAATGTGGCTCAGAGCCCAAATGGGCATGTTCAAATGTCATTCCCCTCAGACCACTCTACCAGAGTTCACTACAGTGACAATTCCAGCAACACAGCAAAGCATTAAAAACTTACTTGCTGACATACAGAAGCTATTTTAAGCAGATCTTGGGCTGATGAAGGCAGACATGCAGGTAATGAGGGACCAACTTCAGGCCACAGAAGTAGATTTACTGGATATTCATCAGAATGGGGCCTTGGTCAAAGAAACCATGCAACAACTACAATCCACTCAGAAGGCATTTCGCTTTGACAATCTAGAGGGAGGAGGGAGTCAGCCTGAGGCAGCCACTGGACCCCAGGGGAGTCATCCTCCTAGACCTAAAATGTAGGACACAGAAGGGTGACTAAACAATGTACATTTTGCATGTTTGTATGTGTGTCTGTATGTGTATCTGTTTGTATGTGTGTCTGTGTATCTGTTTCTATGTGTATCTGTTTTTGTGTGTCTGTGTATCTGTTTGTATGTTTGTCTTTATGTGTATCTGCATGTGTGTCTGTATCTGTGTGTGTGTCCATTTGTGTATCTGTATGTCTTTCTGTGTGTCCGTATGTGTATCTGTGTATCCTTATGCCAACCTTTGTGTCTGTATATGTATCTGTGTGTCTGTATGCATATATGTGTCTGTATGTGTATCTGTGTGTCCGTATGACTATCTGTGTCTTTGTATCTGTTTGTACGTGTGTAACTGTGTGTCTGTATGCGTATCTGTTTGTCTGTATGTTTATCTGTGTGTGTATTTGTCTGTATGTGTACCTGTGCATGTAAATGTTTGTCTGTATGTGTGTAAGTGTGTGTATCTAAATTTGCATCATTCTGTGTGTCTGTGTATCTGAATGTGTGTCAGTGTGTGTGTCTGTGTATCTGTATGTGTGTTAGTGTATGTCAGTGTGTATACCTGTGCATTTTGTATATGTATGTGTGTTATTGTGTGTCTGTTTATCTACATGTGCGTCCGTGTATGTATCTGTATGTTATTGTGTGTATCTGCATGTTTGTCAGTGTATTTGTCTGTTTATCTGTATGTGTGCTAGTGTGTCTGTTTATCTGCATGCTTGTCAGTGAGTGTATCTGTGCGTCTGTGTATCTGGATGTGTGTAAATGTGGATCTGCATGTGTGCCTACCTGTCTATGCACTTATGTGTATCTGTCTCTGTATGTCTGTACCTGTGTATGTGTGTATCCCTATGTATGTCAGTGTCTGCATCTGTATGTGTGTCAGTGTGTGTATTTTGTCTTTTTTGAGTACGGCTAAGTGGTTTTTTTTTGTTTGTTTTTTTGTGAGGGGGTGGAGTGCGTGGATGCATGCTAGACCTAGGGGGCCAAAGCAAATACCTGCCCAATCAGTATTAAAGATGGCCCTGGCCGTATCATGGCAGCGATACAAGGCAGAACACCATATTCATTTGAAAATAACAACCTTACGTTCTATCAGGTTCTACCACAATGAACCCTTCAATGGAGAAGATTTTGTTACGCAGCGACTACAGAAAGCTGGCATTGCCTACAGATGGACAGCACCTTGGACCTTATCAGTATCCAGAGACAAACTGTTCATACTCTCACTTCTCTGGAAGAAGTTCTGCTCTTTTTTACAGTCTTGGGAATGGAGGGACTTCCACTTGGCCCATAGGCCTAGACTCTATGCACACATGGGATCTGAACACAGTAGTACTGTTCCTACCACTGTCTGGAGATAACACAAGCTCAGTAACCTAACTCAAGCACAGCACATATTATCAAACCCTTGTATTTGTGTTGATTTCAGTGGATTTAAGTTGTGGGTTTACACGTTTACTTTACTTTTTAGTCTTAGCCTTATTGGCAGGAAATGTCCTTAAGCAGCATTTAAAGCCATATGACTCTACCGTACGGCCAATTTTGGCCTTTACTTTTTAAAATTAATTAGCTAGTTTTCGCTATGTAGTTATTGCAGCCTGACACCAGTTAAATATTGCAGCTCATTAAAGTGTTTATCTTTCCTACCCCTACCTCCCTTCCGCCCCCATGGTTATAGGTAAATCTCATCTCAGTAGAACCCCACGTCTGGGTATGGATGGGTAACAGGGCCGAATATTCTTGTTTGCGCCTTTTACTCTCACTGTGGTTTATTACTCCAATTATGATAGCTGTATCTCGTGGTCCCAGTTCATGTATTGTTATCACTCATGCTCCCTGAATAAATATTGGGTTTGTGAAATTACATGCATATGAAAATATCTATGTGTATTATTCTCACTGTGGCAATTTGTATGTATGTGCCTTTATGTTGTCTTTTTTTTTACCTGCTAAAAGGAAGAAAAAAAAACGACTTTTATTTTAGAAACGTCGGGTTGTTGGTAGATTTTATGATTTTTGGAAAGTTATTCCAAAATTGTGAAGATCTTTTTAGAATGATTCTTGATCAGGTTCCTTTCTGTAAGGGGGGAGTGACAGTGCATAAAAGAAAGATACACAATGATGCAGGGATATCGATGTCAATATAATGTTTCCAACTTAATTTTTCTGTAATTGTATTTAGAATTTTTTTTTATTGACCACCCCCCAAAAAAAATCGACGCATTCTTTTTTTTCGTCATTAAAAATGTGCTGTTTATACATACCGGAATAAAAAAACATACACATTACTTTCCATCATGCAATATAACCTTAGATATTTTTTTTGTCTTGAACAGTTTTAGGCAAAGCTTGTAATGTGTAAAACAGCAAACACAAATAAACCGTACAACACAGTAAGTATAAAGATGGCGCAGATGGTAACCAACAAAGCTGCATACAAATGTTAAAGGTTAAACAAATTGCTAACAGATCATAAAATTTAATTAAATTCTACAACTATTTACTTGGCATTGAAAAGGTTAAAGAGTGTTCTGCATGAAACTGGGTTCTGGCAGGCAACATACTGAGTATTGAACTTTATCGGAGGGAATACACAATATCATTTACAGAATTAAGAAAAGTGGCAATCTTTATGTCTTCAATTACCCAGGTGTGTCCGTGAGAATTTTTAAGTCCTAGATACTCACCTGTGTTCATATGGTAAATTCTTTTCTTTCGGAGGAACACATTTCCACAGATTGTCAAAAACATGATGAAAAGTTGGAATACCAATATGTATTAGGAGCCCTTCCCTAAATGTACATAATCACATTAAATACTTTCAAGTTAATTTCTCATAACATTGCACTTGAGCTAGACCAATGTTTACATAGTTAAGGCTAATTCCCAGTCTAGAGCTACCAGTTACTTAGATGTGTGCCAAAAAAAAAAATGTTTCACAATATATAACACAGATATCATTTTGTGGCCACAAGTCCAGTTTTGTAAGAATGGCAACGGTTTAACCATTTACGTTCTAAAAATGAGTAACATAGAAACATAGAGGGATGTTTATCAAAGTGTTCTAAAAAAATGGCAGTTCAATTCTGCAATTAATTTGATCAAATGTATTAAAGTGATCTAAAATGTGGCTATTTTCTTAATGGGAAAATCTGTCAGTTATCACACAATTTTCTAATTTAGAAGTCTGACAAATAATTGTGGCAAAAAGTTTCCAGATACATTTCTGTCGGAAAAAAAGCATAATTGAAGTGGTCTGGGTGCATTGTCCCAGGTCCCCTTACATTGCAATGGTAGTTATTGCAGTTTTTGATAAAATACCTATTCTGAGCGTGGCTCTCACTGCACATGCGCATTAGGTCCCCTGCCGGCCCGAACCAGCATCAAGGGACATCGGTGCTGGAATCAAATAAGTGACAAAAGGGGTTTTAACAATACTAAGGGGTTTTAACTATACTAAGGGGTTTATTTAGCTACAGTGCCAGGAAAACTCCCTGAGTTGTTATGGAGATATACAATATCACCTTTCTGTATTAGTAGATTTCATTTAAAAATGCTTCAAGTGATGACATTTGTTATTGAAAATGCACACATTGTTAGTACACTAACACTAACAAAGAAAAGAAGGGGAGCGGTCAAGGATAGGGGTTTAGTGTAACACCCTCGTCCCGTACCTAACCCACAAAAAATGGTCACCTAGACTGGAAAAGTAGGGGATAACCCTAGGGAATACAATAATTTATTGTGAGTAACTGATTCACATTTAATACACATATTGAAATACAACTTTTTTTCCTGGACACAAAACCTTGAGTAGAGTTTTGTAAGCTGAGCAAGTCCTATAAAGCACATTGTATGATCCCTAATGCAGTCTTGTTGTCTGACATTTGACATCTGCTCACTTCATAGTTTGTCATTTTAACAAATTCAGCTCCTATCACTAACAAATGAACAATCACCAGAATTCGGATAAAAGCGGAGAATCAACTTTATATTTAATGTATTCCACAGATAAAAGCTGGAATAAAAGTACAGAGCTGTCCTCAATCCCTGCTTGTCTTTAATACATTAAACCTATTGCTTGGATGATTTGCCCATCTCACTCTCCTAAATGCTTTATCAGTATTTTGATCCAGAGTCAGCATTGAAGATTTTGTTGATTGACTGGTTTAAAAATGGGTGACACGATTGCTTAATTCCTTAATTCCTTCAATGTCAACCATCATATCTTATCGTAACTCCATTCTGTATTAAATATGCAAACAATATATAATCACACTACTTGAAAAAAAGTATAAATGTAAATCCTGGCTACGTTTGGTTATGGCATGGTTCTTTAGTTATCCGAATAATCTCAACCCATTATTTGCTGTGATAAAAAGCTGCCGATTTTTTATAGTACAAAGTGTTATTTCAAAGGTGTATTGAAAGATATACAAAAATAAAAACACTTATTCCCTCTGTGTCATTTACTACAACCCATTGATCCCATTCATCAGTCTACTTCTTCCCAATTCCCTTCTCTATTTTACAAATAACATCACAGGTATTAGAAGAGCTCCATGTTACTCCATATCACTTTATATTGCTTGAGCTTAGGTTGAGCATCTGCCGTAATGCAATTTAATAATATCAGTCTATGAGTTTATGATATATTAGGTACAACAGCATTAATAATTCTAACCTTTAACATGAGTGAATGACAAGCATCACAGCAACAAAACAAAGTGAAAATTTACAATTTTATTCCAATCCATTAAATAAAGCCACATGTTATCTGAATTGCATTCAAGTTAAGGAGAGTGACATTTGGTCAAGAAATTACACAATGCACAATTCAGAAATTAAATTGCACATCTATGCAACATAATTAATAATCAAATATACAGTGAAGGAAAAAAAGTATTTGATTCTCTGCTGATTTTGAATGTTTGCCCACTGACAAAGAAATGACCAACGGCAAAGCGGCGATGCGATGGCAAAGTAGCTTGGTGAGAAGGTGACAATAGTTGGTGCGATTATTCGCAAATGGAAGAAACACAAAATAAATAACTGTCAGTCTCCCTCAGTCTGGTCTCCATGCAATATCTCACCTTGTGGAGTTTCAATGATAATGAGAACGGGGAGGAATCAGCCCAGAACTACACGGGAGGATCTTGTTAATGATCTTAAGGCAGCTAGGACAATAGTCACCAAGAAAACAATTGATAATACACTACAGCGTGAAGGACTGAAATCCTGCAGTGCCCACAAGGTCCCCTGCTCAAGAAAGCACATGTACAGGCCCGTTTGAAGTTTGCCAATGAACATCTGAATGATTCAGAGGAGAACTGTGTGAAAGTGTTGTGGTCAGATGAGACCAAAATTTAGCTCTTTGGCATCAACTCAACTTGTTTAGAGGAGGAGGAATGCTGCCTATGACTCCAAGAACACCATCTCCACCGTCAAACATGGAGTTGGAAAAATTATGCTTTGGGAGTATTTTTCTGCTAACAGGACAGGACAACTGCACCGCATGAAAGGGATGATGGACAGGGCCATGTACCATAAAATTTTGGGTGAGAATCTCCTTCCCTCAGCTTTAATAAGCTTTCCAAATTATTAAATACTGTTTGAAAACTCTCCAAATTATTTATCTACAGAAGTAACAATTAAAGTCTATGGGAATATTTGTAGATAAACCATTTGTAATTTTTTTCCAACAGTATTGAATCATGTGGAAAGCTTATTAAATTAAGGACATAGATGGATGCATAAGTGGTTTTTAAGTTGCTGATAGTCTAGCGCTAGAATTAGTTCCATTATGTGCCAAGATAAGTTCATGAAGGAGAGCAGAGATATTACTTAGATTATTAAAACAATACTTGGTCTTTCAAGTACATTTCTGGGGACGATCTCTTACAGGGACCCAAAATCCAAAAACATCTGCATTTTCTGTTTATGTAACTGCAAACCAGTTCATGATTTTCTTTCAAATCTAAGCTGATGTCTTGTGTCTGAAAACTCCAGAAACTGGTAATCTAAAACAGTGAATGCTAACTCCTGAGTCTGGACTCAAAGTTGGGTTCCATGCAGTTTTATAGTTTCACAATACTGGGATAAAAAAACACTATATTCATCCGGGTCCTGGTTACTGCTCACAGCAAATTGTCTTATTGGATCAATACTGCATTTTTCAGTGGTATGCTCCTCCCCTCCACCCCCCATCGGAAAGGTCTAATGAAAATGCTTTTGTAAAGTTTATTTTAGTGTTTATCATATTAAACTATAAGTAAGCCCTCCCCAGCCTATGTTATAATTGACCTGATACACAGTCAGGCTACAAAAAAGTTGTAATAGATTCACACAATAAAAATATACACACTATTGTTTTGTATTTTCTGTTTGTGTTGTCAGCAGATCCTGTGTTAGTTAAACAAATTTATTTGACATGCATATTTAAAGTCATCCTTGGTTAATGTGACAGTTTTAGATTCCATAGTCTTGGTCACTGCAAGAATATTAACAATATGAAATGTTTAATAAAATGTACTGCAACTGGATGATCATAACTTATAGAATAGAATATTACGGAAAAAGTGCACCTAAATAATTACAAATGTAATCAACATATATTTTTTAATTAACTACGACCCAGATTTAATATTTGTGGATAAGCTCTTCAAATGACTTAAATATAAAAAATATATCATACATAAATATATCAATATAGAAAATATATACATTGATATAATATCTTGATATAAAATATAAAAAAATAAAAAAGTAAAATAGTTTTCAATAGTTTAAATCATTTGAAAAACGTATCCAAACAATATTAAATCAAGGCCTACGTAAGTACAAAGAAATAATGTTATAAAATGTTTTGTTTCCAAAATCATCTTCATCTTCCCAGGATGCAGTGTGGATATGAGTGGATCCCAGTGAATTCAGGGTGGTGTGGCCAAATCCTATTTGCAATGGTATATATAACGGTAGACAACATACAAGATTCACTCATTCACTAAACAGCAATTTCGAGTCTGACAGATTGTAATAGTTTTATTTAGAAACATCTCACCTAGGCAAAAAGTATGGGGGTTTAGTTACATTATATGATCATATATTGCATACGCATTCCACAACATCAATGTACCCCATTTTTGGCAGGTCCTACTCTAGCAACTTATTGCCGCCTCTTATGAGATGAATCCATGCAATGTCTGAATGTATGATGGTATACTGTAACAAATTATTTTTTGCCTAGGTGAGGTGTTTAAACCCCCCCCCCAAAAAACTATTACATTTTGTTAGACTTGAAATCGCTGTTTAGTGAATGAATGAGTGCGCAGGATTTTGTATGTTGAATGAATTGGACCCAGCGGCACTGTATTGTATGCATGTTCAGGTGAGTGCAGCCCTCTTGATTTTACATATATATTTATATATATATATATTTGAAATCTGAGATTGTCTCTGGATTGTCTTTGTGTAGTGTGTTTCTGGACTCTTTGCTAATCTTGGATTCTGACCTTTGCTTCTTGATCTAAATTTTGGACTGTGCCTACACACTGTCTTCCTGACCTGCGCTCCACCTGGACTTTGATACATGTTTGGACTATGCTTTGGAATCTCCCTGTGTTAGGCTCCTGCTCTGTGTCCACAACCCAAGTTCTATTCTTGTGGACAGATGTTAAAATCTCATCAGCTTAGCGTCGCTGAGTATTATTTTCTTTTGAGATGATCAGTGTTGTATGCCTTGTTTTGAAGGTCAAATAATGAATTAAAATCGAGAAAATTAAATTTAGATATCTAGAATCAATAAGAATTCTAAGGATCACAATTTATGGATAACATGAAGAAAATATACAAACCAGATACTTAAAGGGATGGCACAACTTGTTGATGAATACAATATTCTCCCACCAACATTTCAAACACCGAATACAATGTATGCTTCTGTAAGAACAGCAAACAAGAGAAATTTGGTGTTTATTATTTCAAACTATTTGAAAATGTCTTCTGTTAATGTAACATCTGATATCACCAACTTTAACCTGTACGTTTGAGTATTGCACTTTTTCTCTTTTTTCGAGGAACCCATGGACATTTTTAAAAAGAGGACAAATCACAGTTTATGTGTAGTCCTGGAGAACCAAAACAAGTTTCTTATATTATTTATTGTATTTGTTCTGGTGAGTATAATCATTCCCTTCAGGCTTTTTGCTGTAAACACTATTTTTCCAGAGAAAAGGCAGTGTTTACATTGAAGTCTAGGGACACCTCCAGTGGCCACTCCTCAGATGCTTCCTGGGCCAGTGCTGTGCAGTGTGACTGACAGTCAGTGTCTGCACCCCCTGTACGGAGACATTGAACTTACATAGAAACATAGAAACAGAATGTGATGGCAGATAAGAACCATTGGCCTTATTTTATAGTTAGGATAACATTATGCCTATCCCACACATGCCTAAAATAAATTACTGTGTTAATCTCTACCTCTTCAGCTGGAAGGCTATTCCATGCATCCACTACCCTCTCAGTAAAGTAATACTTCCGGATATTATTTTTAAACCTTTTATACCAATGCATCTCTTTGAGGAGATGCTGATTAACAAGTGGGACATATGGCCTACTTGGCAATCTCAGCCAATCCAATGCTTTCTTATGGGAAAACATTGTGATTGGCTGAGATCATCAATTCTGATGATGTCAGTCAAGAAGGTGGATTATGGGAAGAGCCAAACACCGGTGCTGGAAATAAGGTAAGTTTTCACCCTATTTAAGGAGGACAAGGGAGAGGTGGGGGCCGAAAAAGAGTTTTTAACACTGTAAGTTCAGAAATATGTTTGTGTTCCTGACTCTACTGTGTTCCTTTAACATTAATTATTTAGTGTTTGCATATTTTATGCTGCAGGTAGCTGCATCAACGGTCTTTGCAGCATCTCTTTATAAAAAAAAAGGAAAAGAAACAATTATAGTACTTGTCTGCAATAATTGGACATCATGCCAGGAGACACTTGGCGCCCACCCAGAGTAATTAGTCAAGCCATTGACAACTTACGTGGAGTCAGTTGGACACCTGCTCTAGCCTCCTCTTTAGTTGGACACTCCTGCAAGCGGCGTGTGACAACTCCACAGAGCTACAAACTGCAGTGCAGGTCTCGCTCATTGGCTGAGAGCATCTGCCTAGTGCTCTCAGCCTATATCTGCATACGCCTGTTTTAGATGAGTGTAAGAGCTTCCAACTGTAGAGGAAGTGGCAGCGTCGGGCACCGAGATCCCAGGTAAGTTGTCTATACTGAAAAAAGTTTCATGTCTTACTATGGGAAAGCATCAGTACACTCCAGGCACCATAAAGAAAACCACCAGAATTATTAGTGAGATCAGCTTAAGACTTCTGGCACCATAACTACTTCACTGGGCTATACTGGCTATGGTGGTTTAAGTATTCCTTTAAGTTCAGTAATGGCTAGACAAGGATTTACTAAATGGCCTTTGAAGTTTTTTTTAATTGTTCTGTTTTCATTGTAAAAATTGAATTACACAGACGCTCATAATATAAAACAGTAGATTATCAATATATGTCATGTACATTCTTTTCAAATCAGTGTAGGTTTTAATTTCCTAAAATAGACATTCTTATTATACCTCATTCAACATTTCTTTCATGTTAGGATAGAGGTTGCTAAAGAAAGAAACCATTTCTTTGTTATCCTCGGAGTGGGCTAACTGTATGGACGTTTGACCAGTCTTAAGCTCCTGATATAAAACAAAATAAGAAGTAAAATAAGAAAAATAAATTTAAGAAGAAATATAAGAAACAATGAATAATTGTGTCACACTAAAATATATATATAATACCTAAAGATCTGTGATTAGAAAATATTTTTTTCTAAGTGAGTACTATAATACGGCATTAATCAGTGGTAGAGCTAATATAGTGAGGGCCCTGGTGCATTAATCAGTGGCAGAACTAATATAGTGAAGGCCCTGGTGCGTTAATCTTTTTTTGTGTGTTTGCATGTAGTGTTGGCATTTGATTGCTGGGATCTACGCATATATACACATACACTGCCACATACAAATATACACACACAGATACAAATACACATTGACTCAAACACACAAATACACTCACTAACTAATACACATACACTCAGATACACACATATACACACTGACATTCAGATACACACATTTGTACTTGCTGACACATACATACTTAATGACACACACATAGATACTCACTGACATATGCACACACTGACATACAGATACACACACTGACACATACATACACATTGAGAAACACATATTTACACCCTCTGACACATACACACTGACATACAGAATCACAAACAGACGTATATTGACACATACACACACAATGACAGACAGATGCACATATACTCACAGTGACAAACACATAGATACACACACTGACAAATACATACATACACATATACATGTAATAACATGTATAGTTAGCTCAAAGTTGCCAAAAAGTTGTGGTGAATATGTTAAACATACAATTTGATGTAAATTCCAAAATTATTGTTTTGGATTACCTACATACCTCAATATGGACCTTGGGAAAGTCAGCCTTGAGCATACTAATTTTGAGAAGTTGTATTAATCTACAATTTCCCCAGAATTCTGCTCTTGACGTGTGTGGGTGAAATACACTATTTTTGGAGTTTAAAATACAAATCTTTTTACAAATCAAGCTCAGTATTCCTAAAATCAAAACAAAATAAAATGAATATTCAGTTATATAGTTTTTATACCCTGGTTAATGGATCTGCTCCCATTTGCAGTAAACATTTCACACCTTGCAGCAATCCCCCCTTCCTGTAATGAAGACATTTCTTCACATCTTTTTTAAGGTGTCTGTTTTCATATTCCTTAACTGTAAAATTATGAGCCAAGACAGCATAGTGCAGAGGTGTCAATCCTACAATGAAATCACAAAAAAAAAATTTAAAAAAATATAATGTATTCTTTGAGAAAACTCTGGAGCATTAGGTGCAAAAGTGACCCGACTTCAGCTCCATCCTATGTCTAGTATATTATATTTAAATGCCCACGTTCAGAAATGCCAGATGTCTATGGGAAAGACCAGCAGAAATACAGTTATTGACAAAATAGATTTAAAAAAAACATAAAAATGTGAAATTCTGTATCATGATACCTGATACATCTCATCTGACTAATACATCCAGTATCTCCTGCTCTCCAATAATGATACGCAAATCAATTTGATGAAAGGCGGTAAGAGGTATTACACAATAATATCAGTTTTTGGCATCATGCCTCAAATATCATTAAATGAACTTTTTGCATTGATATTCTGGTATGTTCCAAGCTGAATTAGATCTTTAACAACTTTTTCCTTTCCTAAACTAAACCTAATTAGCCAGAGGATAGACTATACTGCTAGCACTATAAACAGAATACGCATGGATAGAAGATTGTCTGGCATGTTTATCCAAGCAGACTTTGTAAAAGAGGGAATTCAAGCAAAAAAAAAAAAATCATTAGGTTGTTTTGGTTCCTTTGGTATTGTATATGAGAAAAATATTCCGGAGTTTTGTTAGAGGTCTGTTAGTTTAAGTAATTGAATGTACAAATTACGTTTTCTTTGACTATTCTGCAGAGCACCTAAGCATTTCACCTGAACATTAGGCTTTTTCTTTTTTTCCTTTTTCTTCTTTTACGCTTTTTGTGTAGACCCTTAAAGCTTTACTCCAACCACAGTCTACTGATGTGAAGAGTACCTCAGCAAAGACGTGGGTAATGTGGACAAACATATTGTAACAGTTTGCCCTGTTACCTGAGTCTTTACTGCATGCAGAGTCTCCTGTACGCTGGGTGACGTAAATCCAGATTCTATCGAGAGATAGAAGCTGTATACCAATGCCGTCACCATTTATTAATGACGGCTAATCGCTTTCAAACATTGAATGCAAGAATTGACATTAGCCAGCCAGGAACTCTTGTAAGAAGCTGGCTAATGACTCCACAATAATGCTATCAGGTTTATACTTCTGGCAGCAAAGGGGTTAAACGTGATATGTGCAACATTTGATAATGTAACACTGCACATACAAACTCCAGGCACCATAACCACTTTAAATCACTAAAGTTGTCATAGTGCTTGGAAGAAACCTTTAATTATCTTTTTTCAACCTATATATTCATAAAAAAGTTAATGTGTTTATGTGTCTTCTCCCTACCACTCAGTCCATACGCAGATCTTACCTCTTTCACTTTTCATAGATATAATCTTAATTAAAATTTTACTTACTTCCTCCTTTTATTTTTTTATCTTTGTATCATTTCTGCAGGTCTCTCCTTTAATTTCACTTTGTTTTCATATATGACTAATACTCCTTTATGCTATAGACTCTCTATTCCATATTAAATGTTCACTGACATAATGCACACTAAATGTCTGTGTATTTGTCCACAGATTTCATGTGGCTTACTTCCATTCTTTTGTTAAATCATTTTACAGCTAATTAATAAATGTGTAATGATTATTTTACATATAATTGTGCAAAAATAAAAAAGTTAACCAAAACAAAAAAGCGTTTTCGTGAAAAAGGTCCTCTTGGATAGAAGGTTAGGATTCACTTTCCTGACTATATACCAGGTGAAGGTCATCTCCCTGTGAATGGTGTTAGGACATAGTCTTCCCAGTATGTGACATGTAATAGCAGAGGAAAGATTAGAATCAAATATTTAAAATATATTGTCCAATTTCTCTGTACAGGATTGGATTGCTGAAAAATTGGAATTGAGGTCTCCAATGATACATTGCCAACATTTAGGGGTAAAGAAGTGGAGATGAAACCAGCAGCAAGCTTTTAGTCATACGTTTTTAATCATAAAATGGATTCCGTAATTTTAGATCTCTCTCTTGATTGCGCAATACATTATTTTATTTCAGCCCTGACACAAATGTTAATATAAAAGCTATCACTCTTACCACTGCTGTCTAAAGCCTCTACTTGTAGATCTTGCCCCGTCTCCTTGGTATTTTTCAAAACCTGAAAAAACAAGTTGAAGACAATATAATGTAATCACTGGAAAAGTTGATGTTGCTAACCCTAACCTTTTACACTTTTCTAAATTACTTCTTGATCTAAATTACTTTTACCTCTATATTTTGAATAAAACTCAACTTATGTACCTTTCCATATCAGAATATCTCAAAACGTTTGGTTGATTGAGTGCGCTATTGTTCTATGTTTTGGGTTTAATGAACATGTGCAAGAGTTCAGTTATTAGTCTCTAAACTTTAGTCTAGATTTGGCAATGATATTTACATAAACTAACCTTATTTTAGGCACTGTTTCCAGCCTTATTTCTAAAGAACAGTATTAAACTACCATATTTTTATTGATTTCGGAGGTATTTGCCTAAGCTTTAGCGCTGCTTGTTAGGGTCATTATTGTGACATTCACAAAACTATCAAGGTCACACTTGAGAGAAAGATACCATTTTTTTTAGTTTTCTTTCTCTTGTCATATTTACACTGATCTCTTACAAATCCTTTGTTCCAAAGTAGCAGTCCACGATACATACTTGCATATCGTCTGAAGAACACTTATGACACTGACTTCAGCATTCATATATTTTGTGGATAAAATAGACACCTTCCAATGTGACATCACCAGTGAAGATATCTTCTGATCTTATCACAAACAGTCAAACCGGGACGAGTCTGGAAACCAACCCGCCAGGTAAGGGGAGGAGTGGAGGACCTGGGCGCGCTCGCGGCGTGATGGGCGGGGGCGGCCCTCAGGACTAGGGGGCCAGGCGTTCCAACCCAGCCTGTTCCTAACCCCCTTCCCTTCTCCCTATCACTAATTTCACTGTGCCTCTCCCTCTCCCCTCTATCTCTTCCTTCACGTACGTACAGCGCAACTTACCTAATGACCCTATCTAATAGGGTACATCTGCCTTTTCGATATCTCAATCCATGGCTGACACTCTGAAAGTGACAATCCGACCAATGGTACCAGCATGGCATCTCACTCCTCCTTCAGGTGCCTAAGGTACAGGGGACAAGGTACGTCTCGGACACATAGTGGGGACTCTATCTCAGGGTGCGTAAATTGGAGGCAAACATACCACGCACGAACGGGTTAGACAGATACATAACACCCCCCACGGGCATATGACATAGGACAGACAATAGGTAGATAGAACAGACGAGATGATACGGAAGAAGACGGGCTACCCACATGACCCGCACTACACCGGGACACCTGACACACGCTACAAACAAACACAGGGAAAAGGCAGGGGGAGCCCTGGGATGTAGGACAGAGACACAGAGGCTGAAATAAAGGACTGTAACACCTCCATACCCCCTAGACCCTCCAAAGGAGGCGCAGTAAACCTTAGTGAAGTAGACAACTAGGGGTCATACAAAATGAAGTCCAAGCACCAACGCACGTAAATACCCCGCCACCTAACCTCTAATGTGTATGCTTAGATGGGGGTAGCAGCCTGAAGGATGCATTCACTTGAACTTAGGTACCTTAATGTGTTGTTGATATGCCATTCTATTTCTACTTTCTGTACCACTTAATACTTTGAAAAATATTCTAATAAACAAAGATTGACAAAAAAATACATAAACAGTCAAAATCATCGGTGTGCATCAAAGGACCAGAACTAACCATCAAATATGTGGATGACAAACCACAATCACCAGCTGGTGCTTGCAGCGTGAGAATCTACCAATCACAGTTCTACTATTTTCTGACCTTAGCCTAGCACTTCCAGCCTACCGTAACGTTCTATCATTAGTTGGATTTGTACAGATAATACAGTGTGTCATTTGGCATTATTGCCACTTACCATTTTGCAGAACCACTTCTTTAAAGCACTAATACTAATATTGATTAAAACCACAAATCAATACTACGATTTATTGTGAGTTAGATGTAATTACCTCCATGACGTTGACATGTCCATACGATGCGCATATGTGAAGTGGTGATTTTCCATTGCTGTCACGCTCATTGATGTTGGCTCCAAATCCCAAGAGATCTTGAAAGATCAAATGCTGATTCTTTTCAGCTGCCACATGTAATGCAGTCTTTCAAGAAAGAATAAAAATCATGAAAAAAAACAAAAACACTTCCTCCCTAAAATTATCATCATTAGGTCCTCCCTATAGAAAAGCATTGGATCCATGTATTCCTATGGGTTTTTCACTGATGCTGAATGTCCTCATGCAGAGGAGTTACTTAAAGTCTGGTAAAATCCCAGAAGCACCTTTGTACTTCAATGTAAATATTGCAGGTTCTCTAAAACTGTAGTGTTTAACATTGCAGGACTAAGTGGGACAGGGACACTATGCCCAGACCACTTCAATGAGCTGAAGTGGCCTAGGTGTATATACTGTCCCTTTATATTCCACATTTAAAGGTGAGGTATAGTTACATTTTACAGTTTCTGTATGCAATGCTCCACAGCTAGAACCTTGCCCAAGAATTGCTTTTTAGTAATTTTCCTATAACAATAGTAGGGAAGTGGATACTTGGGTAAACAAGATATTATCATTCATTGCATGAGCGTGCTGATTGTAAAACACTAGTTTAATCAACTGATTAAAGGTTTACTCCAAACAAAAAACACAGTAACAGTAACCCATGCTGGGCTGGTCCACTCCCAAATTAAAAAAATAAAACCAAAATAAAGCTGAAACTTGCCTCCGCTCCACAGCCAAGGCAAGTTCTCCCTGTTGCCCATTCCTCCTCCATTGATGTCATTGTCCCTCGCTGGAGGGGGACAGATGTCTGGGAAGGTGGGCTGAGGGGAAGACATGGGTTGCATGGAAGGGGCGGGGGCATGACTCAGTTGGACGCCAATCGCCAGCATGTTGTGTGTGCTGACATCAGACATCCAATATGCACAGAATTAGCCACTTAGAACTCTTGTTTCAGTCTGGCTAATGATGCCCTAATGATGCTGCTGAAAATGGAGTAACACATTGGGTAGCATAGGGGTTGGGTGAAATGCTGCACATACAGTCTAGAGGGAAAATGATCACTTCAAATAACAAAATTATCCTACTTGTACTTGGAGTACTTGGAGTAACTCTTTCATTAATTAGTTCCCTGAGTTGCTTCTTATCATTGAATTAACTTGTTGACCCCCTCATAAAGGGCTGATAACTTGCGTTAAATTCTTAACTGATATCTGTTGAAGGGAAGAACGGGTGTTTTAAAGCTTTACAAAAATGAGCAGATGTGTCTGTTTTAACAATTTTGCTACATTCTGTCTAAGAACATAACAGTTTTAGCTCTTTCTCAGAGCACCGAAAAATGTGGGGAATGTTGATTCCATAAAATAAATTTACATAAGATGGATTAGCGCTAAAGAATCAACAACAAACTGTGAGTACAATTTTATACAAAAGATTACAGAGATCACTATATATTGTTTACCTTCATTACATATACATCTACACTGCTGAGTGATCTGTGAATACGGTATATCCTTAGACGGGAAACTGTGAGCTTAAGATGTAACCTCCCTTTTTGTGGGTGTGTTTCGTACTTTTGGTTGCAAGTTATTCACTACTGGATTTTCAATTTTGGCATTGCTTTTTTTTTTTTGCTGGGACCACTGGAGTCACCCATATGATATTTATATTCATATTTGGGGATTATATGCTATAGGCTGATATTACTGATAAAGCTCTATGTCATGTGAGTGGACATTTATACACCTTGTAATATGTTATCCATCCCTTTTGAAAATACTGCACTATTGTTTTTTCTTTCTGGTTTTCTTTATTCTGTTGCATGTGCCCTTTGAGGAACGACCAAGCTATATAAAATGATAAGATTATTAAATGAAAACATGGTCTTTATTCTCTTGATTATCTTGTAAATATTTACACTAGTGTGGCATTAACTTTACACGAGGCGCAACCTCTTCGCTGTATTTTGGATAATGTTGATACCATCACTAGAGTTGTGGTTCCAAAGCTTTTCTACCAAGCCACCAGTTAAAATCAGCTGATCAAGTGAATTAAGGTTAATAATGTAAGCATGCAGTCTAAAGGGACACTCTGGGCACCATAAAAACGTTATCAGAATGAAGTTGCTATGGTGCGAGAAGGGACCAAAGGCACTGGCTTTTTCTTAGTGTTTTAACCCCAAAGTGCTGCATCCAGCGCTTGATTGCTCTGTCCATGTCGTTAAACCGTGTGTAAACGGTTTAACCTTTTCAAGTAAGCCTTTGTCAGGGGATCTCTTCACACCATAACATCTTAATTTCAATGAGGTTGTTATGGTCCCTGGAGTGTTCCTTTATGGAATGTTCTGTTTAGTCTGTGTTAAACACAATACTAAGCACTAATACTTCTTGGTTACATTCTTGGTGAAGGGTACATAAAAGTAAATTTCTCTCAGTAATCTTTTCTCTGTTTGCCAAAACTGAACCTCTGCACAGCCGTAGGAGTCACTTAGAGCTCAGAAAAACCTGAACTTGTAAGTTGACACCATCTTGCACAAATAAGGGTTTTAATACAGTATGTAAATGAAATGTGATAGACTGTGCAGTCTGCACGATGCTTTATATAACGTGTTTATTGCTTTTTTCTCAATAATAAGGTTAATTCTTACTGCTGAACTTTCAGTCCAATTTCAAGCTTGTGTTATTTTCTCTTTACTGTACTTTGCCAAGTTTAGCTATTAGGAGAAACCCTAACTGTATTTGGCATTGAAGTATTTGGCATTGATACAATTACAATTGCAAGGCACCCGAGTCACATTATCTCGCATTTTGAAAATACAGAATGATGTGCAAAGCTTGTTTACTGTTCCCATGAGCTCTTTTCGGAAAGTCTCTATTTCATTTCTGGGGTTCCTACCTCTTGGTCACCATATTTCTGTTTTCTTTGCCTCCCCTGCATGGGATACTTTCTCCTGTTGTGTTTTTGTCTTTGTTTTTGAATTGATCAGAAAAATCTTAAATTAATATTGACCAAAAAATGTTTAAGGTAACCCCATGAGCTGTTCCTCTGATATTGATATAGCTATTTTTTTGGGTTCTATGAAAGAAATTCCGTTGGATTACAATTTTCACAATATTACATACTGGAGTGTAATTTGGTTCCTTGTGGATGTGTCACGGTTACTAAGGAAGTAAGCAATAGTGATAAATGCACAACAAACTCAAATTATAAACACAGCTGTGTCAAATAGCCCCTGACTGCCAATGATTCATCTGAGCTGCTGTTCGCTAACAGCTGGAGATCCAATATTTGAAAAAACAAACAAAAAAACAGGTCTAGAGAAACGGTATTTGGTTCTATCAACTTTGCTGGCAGATTATATCAATATTAAACCATTATCCTGTTTTAAAATACGTTCAAACATTCTTTATGGGCAAGCAAACAATTCTCTTCTTGTCATTCATTGATTTTAGCTCTATCTTCATTAGTCATTCTCGGTCGAAGCCTGAAATGCACAGAAGGTGTGCCAGCCTTTTTAGAGCCAGTTTGATAAGCTACAATCTGCAGCAGCACAGAATAGGCTGGACTTAACCCTTTTCCCTTTTTATTCCATTGTGATTTATATTCTCAAAGTAATAGCATTGAGACGATCGAACATAAAAGGTATGTTGCAGCCAGTTGAACAGATAAGAGGGAAAGTATTGTTTGAAGTGAACAAAAATCCCCAAAAATCTATGATGGTGACACTTGTAATGACAAAGTGGAAAAAAGTCAAGCTTGTATATATGAAAGACTATTGTTTATGAAAATGGAAAACTGTATATTACAGCAAGAAAGCCGTCCCTCCAAATGTACTTGTCAAATCCATTACATTTCATTCATATAATGCCTAACCAGATTCCAGTCCTTTTCCTCTGTTGCCTTTTGTGAAAGCATTGATTCCCCGTTTACCTATCCAAGTTCTAGTCAGTTCTATCAATTATGAGTGAATGTTAAATGGGAAATCCAACCATCCATATGGGAACGCAACCAGTGTTTGGATATGTATTTACAGGTGGTCCTCACTTTACGACCTACCTGTTTTATTACTACTCGGACTTACGACCAGCTGGTCTATGTTCAGGAAATTTTCACTGAACATAGACTTCAGAGCTTCCCTGTGCTAGTAAGCTAATCAATGTTTGGGGAATTTTATGCGAACATAAATTTGTGGGATTTCCTGCACTAGTGAACTGGTCTATGTTCGGAGGAATTCCCCCAAACGTAGACCTGCTCTCTAGTGCATGCTCGCTAGTGCATCCTCACTTACCGAACAATTCGTTTTATGACCGAGTCATAAGAGCGAAGAACGGAACCCGGTCAGTAAGGCAGGACTGCTTGTATTTACACACACTATAAAAATATTGTTTTTACCACTATCACTACCTGTGCTCTATGCAAGGATGTGGTGAGTTGCAAATGCCAAACTTTTGCAGAAAGCCATTGGTCCTGCCCTCAAATCACTCCCATTTCTGCCATACTGCTCTTCCTCCCGGTTTCCTTGTTGAGATCTGGCCAGGAGTGGAAGCAGCACAAAGATAGAGACAGGGAAACTTGGCTAGAGTGTCATATTACTCATATCTTTATCATAACTGTGCTGCTCAGATGAGGCTCAACAAGGAGACTGGGATGGAGAGCAGCATGGGAAAATAGATTCAGAGATCTAATTCCACTCCTCCCAGCTAAAAGATCAGGGGTTACATTCAGGGCTATAACCCCACAGTCCACCACTGTTAGGTAACAAGTTGACCACTAGAGATGTTGCGAACTGTCCGCCGAACTGTTCGTGAACTGTCCGCTGGCGAACAATAGCGTGTTCGCAATGTGAGAACATATCCGATTTCCGGTCCGCCCCCTATACGTCATCATTGAGTAAACTTTGACCCGGAACCTCACAGTCAGCAGACACTTCCTGGGAGGGAAGGTCTGCTGCTGATTGGGTGGAATGTGTCTGCTGGCTGTGAGGTTCCGGGTCAAAGTTTACTCAATGATGACGTATAGGGGGCGGACCGGAAATCGGATATGTTCGCCCAACGCGAACACGCTATTGTTCGCCAGTGGACAGTTCGTGAACAGTTCGGCGGACAGTTCGCGACATCTCCATTGACCACTAGTAAGCATACAATAGATGACTTTGCTGACCAAGTCACAAATGTCTGCTCCTTGCTGGGCCACCAGAGTCTACCTTGAATGTTAGGAGAGAGAGGATGGCTTCATAGAACTGACAATACCCTAAAACTATCTAGAGGACCATAGTAACATAATATAGGGGATATGCTTACCCTTTTATTAGAATCTTTCACATTGATTTTATTACACATTGTAAGTCTTCTTGCAAGAACATACGCTTGAGCTCTTTTCCCATCACTGATAGCGGAAAATAGCAACCTGTAGAAACACATTACAAATAAATTCATGCTAAATTATGCTAGGATAATAGTTATTCATAGAAATCTTCACAACATGCTTGAAAATCAATAGTTAACATTTTGCACATTATTTTATTTTATAAATCTTCATTATTTGATTCATAAATTCTTACTTGTCCAAGACAAGTCATAAAATCAATTGAAGGGACATTTTACACTGACTCAATCACTATTTGCGTAATGTGTAAATCTAATAAATGTTAGTTTATGCTTAAAACATACCTGCTTTCATCTTCATCCAATGTTGTTATTCCTTTATCAATGGAAGGGTTACAGAGCTTTTCTTCTTCATGCATAATTTGAAACTCGAAAAATGAGAAAGAAGTCTGCTTCTGTTGTCTAATGGTTACCATATCAAGGTTTTCACAACAGCCATGAATCATGGGTGGGTTTTCAACCCAACATTGGTGACTTTTGACTGTATATTTTGTTGAGCAGCTGACACTTCCTGCTGTGCCGTTCAAGTTGATGTAAGAAGTTCCAATGTTATTGTTGAAATTGAATGTTTCCTTAGAGTTTAACTGAGAAAATTCATGCGATGACGATTGGAGCTCCGCAAGATGACATTTGTTATGATGATCAAAAAAACTATTGTAGCTCGATTTATTATGTCGGTGAGATTGCTCCTCAAAGGTAGTATGAGAATTTTCATTATCCATGTGGCATGGCAGACATAGGTTATCGGTAGGATGTGCAGCCAAAGAGGTTTCGGTAGATTGGAGCAATTTATTGTCTAGTACTTCTAAAAGTTCATCCATTGTTTCTCTTAGTTTTGGAGAATCAAATTCCTTCTGCCAAGGTTAAACATATGTTTCATGTTGAAATGTGGTCATGGAGGTATTTTTTTAATATATTTCTTGCTCCGATTTTTTAATAAATGGCCTACTAAACGTGTTTCTGCTTTAACTCACTTGTGTAAAGAATATAGGCTCTAAATTAATATTCTTGGATAAGCTTTAACATTATTTTATGATTTTGGATAAACTTTGACAATGATTTACTATTATGGGAAAAAAATGTATATATATATTTTAATATTTTGTCATATATTAGTAGATTTTTTTTTATATATGATTTATGTTTTGATATTTTTATATATTGAAAAAGTAATTTGATTTTTTTTCCCCAAAGATAATAAATCTTTTGGAAAGTTTATCCAAAAATATTAAATCAAGGCCATAAATGTAAGAGAAGGTTTTATGCCAACATGTAACTTGCAGGAAAACTTGTAAACTCCACGTGTACTTACTCTGAAAGGCTCTTCCTTTAATTGCAATTCATAGGAGGTCTCTGTATACATACTGATCTAAGGGGAACATTTCTTAGCACACATTTAAAACAGAACATTCAGTAAACTGTTGCAGCTACTCTCAATTGTGGCAGCTCTTATCTTATCTTATCTTATCTTATCTGATTAATAGAATCCCTGATAATGGAAGCATGGGGACTGGCTGAGTCACTTCCTAGTTTGTTTAAAGGAAGCCTTGGACTTTTTGGACTTTCAGGCCAATGCAGGAACCTCAATGATATACATATATCTATAAACCAAGAAGATGCATTCACCTGAACGTGCATACATTATATGGTGCTGCTGGGGCCTATTCATACAACATACACTATCCAGCGCACTCGCTCATACACTAAACAGAAAATTCAAGTCACACAAAATGTAACAGTTTTATGTCAAACACTTTACCTAGGCAAAAAATAATGGGGGTTTAGTTACAGTATGTGATTATATATTGCATAAGTAAGACTGCCACAACGTCAATGTACCCCGTTTTTGGCAGGTCCTACTCTAGCAACCTAATGCTGGCTTTTTAATGAGATTAATCCACTTACTTGGGAAATATTTCCACCTGGGACTCTCTACAGGGCAAGGTTAAATAGGGCCCTGGAATCAGGAAACTGTGACAGGAAGGGGTGCAAAACCAGGGAGCTGGCCTGGCCCAAGAGAACTGCCCTCACCTGAACATGCATACATTATAGAGAGGTGCTGGAGTCAATATATACAACAAACAAGATCCAGCAGCCAAGTCATACAACATACAAGATCCAGCAGCCAAGTCATACAACATACAAGATCCATGTATATATATCTTTAATGGGGTTGGGCATTTTATTCATGTTATTCAGATATCTATTAAAATTATTACTCATGCTAATGCTCACAACAAAATGATTATACTTATTGAAGACGAATGCACCCTCTCAGTTGTCAATCAGCAGTAAGGGAGGTCTTTCTCACATGCTTTGAGGGCTTGAAGTGAGGCCTTTGCTAGAGAAGCATTAGTGGCAATACTTCACTATGAGAAGCACTGTCATAACATTGTGGTGGTTGCCATGTATGTACCTTCTTCTATATGCGATGTTCTGTATTACCCAAGAGATCATCATTAGGGGGCAGAGAGCAGCAGGATTTGAAATAAGTAGAGACTGTTATTTAATAGGAACGGGGTCTCTAAATCAACTGTGGAAAAATCCAGAGTTATAAATAAATTAAATTATAATGCTGGATTGTTCATTTAATAATTGTTTGATTTGAGGATAATGCACAAAATAACTAAATCAGAAGCATTTAAATATAAAAATGATTTGTAATAAAGATACACCCAGTCTGACTTTATGATAAACGTTGGACTGTTTTAGTAATCTATTAAATATTATCATACCTGCCTTGGTCTTCTTGCTGAGTACATATATCTTATTTTTCCTGTAAACATAAGAGATTTACAGACATATTTAGCAATATTTGTTTTTACATTATAATAGAAAATAATTTAGTAATTTTATTAGGGAGCCTTTAATTAATACAGTGGCCATTTTTTTATATGGACAATTGGGGAATATCAGATAAGAAATATGTTGGTACAGACACATTATATGCCTATACCATGCCTAATCCACTGTTACGTTAAAGTAATAGAAGATCGTTGGTCCAAAACGAATTGTATACATGACAAATTCCATTTTTTTCAGCATTAAAAGTTTATTAAATGTTTAAAATAGAATAAGAAAAAGGAGATGGTTCAGAAAGAAAGTGGTTGGGTTGGGGTGTGGACAACAGCATACAACAGGTCAGGAGAAACAACAGGTCATAAATCGAGAAATTAATATGATGCAAACATGAAAGAACATCTGCACACAGTGATCACAAATGGTAAATAATGATTTTATTTTTTTTATTACTATTTTTTACTGCCGCTAAGATTAGGAGATTGATTTTTTTTTTTCTGGAAGGCGAGATGGGAGTCCCATTTGGCCCACAATTCAGTTTGTGTGTGGGGTGGAGGGGTGAACACTTTTTACGAATAGAGCTACCTGTAACTCTGATGGAGTTATTTACTGAAGTGAGAATGGTCAGGAATGGAATGTGAATTTCCAATTTAAGGTCGAAGTAGCTGGACTGAAAAAATGCTCTAACTCAGCTAGGGTTCCAGTTTGGCTACATTAACCCAGCTTTAGGGAGACATGAAGGCAGGATGATGAACATATAATATTGTAGGTTAAGAAGCAGCAAAAAAATAAAAAGTCATTTTCTTTATGAGGAGTTTGATATCAAGCCAAAACGCCTGAATCTTGCTGTAGGACCACCATAAAGTGTGCCTACGTTTCCTTGAGAACAAAATTCTATTTTAAAAAATATGATGTAGATTGGCCCAAGGTCCTTTCTGGTTCCACATGATCTAAAATTTATTTGAATTTAAATATAATTATTAACTACATTTTTATTTACCTTTTCTGACCTTGGATTGTCTTCTGGATTCAGAATCCAAAACCTTTAAACATACAGAAAAAAAGGAAATAGACCTTTTATGTATTTCATGTTGAGTCACATTATATCCTTCCAATTAAGTACTAGTTTGCATAATTTCTTTTGAAACTTACAGCAAGCTCCCACTATCAAATCAGAATTTGGCCAATCTTGATAATGTAATATGCAGAAAATAAATGATGGTCGAGGCACTCAAGGTAAATCTAAAATGAGCAGGTTTATAAGAGTAGATGAAAGCAACATTTTGCCCACAACAGGGCCTTTGTCATAATTTATTTTCTGCGAACCCATGGGTATTGTCAATATTGTGTTAGTAGCATCATGTTTTTAAAAAAAATCGAAAAATGCTTCTGCTGTGCTTGGAAATAAAGCACGTAATAGAAAAATTACAATAAAAAGAAAAAAACGAATCTCTTTATATTACTTCTCTGGGACTGAAGAAAATCTTTTTGATTATTTTACTTTTACATCTAAGTGAATTAGAAAGTATAAATCATCAATATTGCTGTCTCAAACACGTCCCGTAAACATTATAGGGGCAGACATTTCATAAATGTTGCATGTTACAGACTGTTTTATATGTTTTAAAAGTTTATGATTTAAAAATCGTTAATTTGGGTAGCCGAAATTGCCCCCTTTTTTGAATTTTTTTTTGTGGCGTTTTGATCATGAATTTTCATTATATAGCAACTTGAAATAGATTGGAACTTTGTGATGATCATAATTGAATCTGTTCAACAGTTTAAGTGGTCTACAGATGTAGAATTATTCATTGCTTACACCCACATGTTCTATAAAAATGGAAACACATCATTTCAAAATAATGAGGTTGTTAAAGAGTAACGTTTATTCTTACTAAATTATACATGGTATGAACTTGAATATATTTTTAGATTAAGTTTAAATACAAATAAAATAAAAGTAAATTTTCCACAAACTCAGAATTACCCTGGAAGAACAGTATGTTCCCAATTTGTTGCTTAAACTAAACTGAATTATAGATTGCTATCAAATATTGCTTTATCTTGTTGCATGGAAACACATCAACAGAGTTTAACGAACCTATTCTTCGTTACTGAACTGAGGAATGTTTTGTTTTATTCCACAGATCTCTGATTAAATCACCTACTGACACCACATTCTTCTCTGTGGAAGAGTGTGATGACACTCAAGATGACCTGCCCAACGCGGGACCATAGTCATATCTTTAAGTGGCCACAACAGACAAACATACTAAAGCTTGGTGAAAAATACATTTTATTGTGTTGGGAATATTGTTTAGCTTCCTCTTAAAATGAGTGTATTTGCAACTAAAATTGATTTTCTTTTTTTATAAAATAAAAGAAAAAAAAAGAAAAAACAAGAACAGACATTTCTGATGGCATATAGAATGAAGAGCATTTCTAGGTGTTCATAAAGTGCTACATTTATATGTTATATAAAACTTTTTTCTTCACCGTGCCATGTTTTATTGATCGGAGAATCATTTTAGATTTTACATTTTGACAGCTTGTTTGTATACTAAGGTTGAGTTTCACATTGAAAATAATTTGTGATACAAAGATGCTTTGTACAATATGTGCCCAGTTTGTCTGTTGTATATAATGGAATGTAGACTTGTGAATGGGAAGAAAAAAAAAACATGTTTCAGCTGAACCACTTTGCCCATAAATAAAAAAAATAAAAATTCAGGATGGCTATATAGTAGTTCGATTAGTTTGAAATTCGTTAGCAAAAAAAGATGAGCGAAAATGAATCAGATGAGCCAAAAGGACACAGATATGGGCTAATCAGTTTCCTGAACAATATATACATAATAAAAATATTTTATGTAGATACTCTGCAGGTCAGTAATAGTTACATTTTCTCTCAATTTGATACACTTCAAGTGAGAAAAGTAATCATTAAAATATCTTTATCAAATTCTATATTGCATATTTATTAAATATATAATATATGAATATAGATTTTTTTGTTACTCAATTTCCCTCTATTGATCTCTTCTTACTTGATCTGTAAATACAATCACCTCACCATCAATCAAGTATTTTTCCTTTAATCATCTCTTTTAACTTTCCCATCATCTCATCTCTGCTAAATAATAAATCAAAATGAATATGCTTGTCCATTGCGAGTTTTATTTGGTTTGTGATTTCGCTATTTTAGGCTCGGAGTTCGGGAATTCGTACGATCACTCGATCAGCCCAAATCTGACCAACTTGCAGTACGTGTGTATATCTGTATATAATGTCTGTATGCACGTATGTAATTGTGTTAATGTTGAGTATGCATGGATACCTCAATACCGCTGAGTAATAATAGTAAGGGATAGAATGGGCACTAGCAATGCAACATTATAAAACAGTAATACGTATCCCATGCCATACATCTTACATGGTACTAATTATGGTGACACTGTATACCTTGGAGACATTAGAAGATCCAGTCTTTGCTGATCTTATCTTATTTAGCATTTCTTTCACTGGTAACCTTACTCTGACACCCACATACTTCTGAGATGTACGATCATTTGGTTTAGACTCTGTAGACGAGAAACACTGATAACATTTACTAACATTCCAGGAGCTCAATATATATTGGCTATTTGTAATATTACTTCAATTGTAAGATCTACCTGTAAATACGTTCATATTTCAAACACATCTCACAGATTATTTTGTTTGTCCCAAGCTAAATACAAACCAATTCCACAACTCATTGTACAGGTACATGTAAGATTTGCCCATTTTCTCTTCCGGAGTACACCTTTTTAATAACGTGTATTTAAATGCAGGAATATATTTAAAGGTGGATACGGCCAGATTTACTTATCCGGTATCTGTAAGCACAGAATTCTATCTTCTCCCCCACCCCCCCCACAAAAAAATAAATAAAAATAGAATAATGATTTTTTTATGACTTTACTAACTGGACATATAACAGCCTAAAAAAAAGAGTATATGCAGCTGGGCAAATGCACACAAGGTTACAGATAATGTTAGAAGTGGCTGGAGCAAAGGGGTAGGGGTAAAGTTAGAGAGTGTTTAACATCAGTGTTTGATTACATAGGTTATTTAACCCCTTAAGGACCAAACTTCCAGAATAAAAGGGAATCATGACATGTCAGACATGTCATGTGTCCTTAAGGGGTTAATGTCATCTTAGACTATTTTGTATCTGCATTTATAATACTTTACTGGTGGACAGTATTCATACATGTGTAAACTCACTACACAATTCCAAACCTGTGACTTGAAATGTCATAATTACTACCGTGCACGTACAGTGAGGGGAAAAAAGTATTTGATCCCCTGCTCATTTTGAACGTTTGTCTACTGACAAAGAAATTTATAATTTTAATGGTAGGTGTATTTTAACAGTGAGAGACAGAATAACAAACAAAAATATCTAGAAAAACACATGTCAAAACAGTTATAAATTGATTTGCATGTCAATTAGTGAACCGTAAGTATTTAATCCCCTATCAAACAGCAAGATTATTGGCTCCCAGGTGTCTTTCATACAGGTAACGAGCTGAGATAAGGAGCACTCTCTTAAAGGGAGTGATCCTAATCTCAGCTTGTTACCTGTATAAAAGACACCTGTCAACAGAAGCAATCAATCAGATTCCAAACTCTCCACCATGGCCAAGACCAAAGAGCTGTCCAAGGATGTCAGGGACAAGAATGGGCTACAAGATCATCACCAAGCAGGTGGTGAGAAGGTGACAAAAGTTGGTGCGATTATTCGCAAATGGAAGAAACACAAAATAACTGTCAGTCTCCCTTGGTGCTCCATGCAAGATCTCACCTCATGGAGTTTCAATGATCATGAGAATGGTGAGAAATCAGCCCAGAACTACACGGGAGGATCTTGTTAATGATCTCAAGGCAGCTGGGACCATAGTCACCATAAAAACAATTGGTAACACACTACGCCATGAAGGACTGAAATCCTGCAGCGACCACAAGGTCCCCTGCTCAAGAAAGCACATGTATAGGCCCATCTGAAGTTTGCCAATTAACATCTGAATGATTCAGAAGAGTACTGGGTGAAAGTGTTGTGGTCAGATGAGACCAAAATTGAGCTCTTTGACATCAACTCAACTCGCAGTGTTTGGAGGAGGAATGCTGCCTATGACCCCAAGAACACCATCCCCACCGTCAAACATGGAGTGGAAATATTATGCTTTGGGGGTGTTTTTCTGCTAACGGGACAGGAGAACTGCACCGCATCATAGGGATCAAATACTGTCAAATTGTGGGTGAGAACCTCCTTCTCTCAGCCAGGGCATTGAAAATGGGTCGTGGATGGGTATTACAGCATGACAATTTTAGCATGACAACCCAAAACACACAGCCAAGGCAACAAAGGAATGGCTCAAGAAGAAGCACATTAAGGTCCTGGAGTGGCCCTGCCAGTCTCCAGATCGTAATCCCATAAACAAAACTGTGGAGGGAGCTGAATGTTCAAGTTGCCAAAGGTCAGGCTCGAAACATTAATGATTTGGAGAGGATCATACATCTCCTGAGATGTGTGCAAACCTGATGTCCAGCTACAAGAAACATCTGACCTCTGTGATTGCCAACAAGGGTTTTACCACCAAGTACTAAGTACCATATCACTCATTGACATGCAAATGAATTTATAACTTTTTTGACATTAGTTCTTCTGGATTTTTTTTTGCTATTTTGTCTCTCACTGTTAAAATGCACCTACTATTAAAATTATAGACTGATCATTTCTTTGTCAGTGGGCAAACGTTCAAAATCAGCACGGGAACAAATACCTTTTTCCCCTCACTGTATATGAAGTTAAGGAAAACACTAAAATATCATATCGACTTTTGATGTAGCTATATTTTTTTTTAGCAGTTTCCATAGCATGATACAAAACAAATAATAAGGTATTTAACCCCTTAAGGACTGGACTGTTTTTGCGATGTTGTACATTTGCGACCAGGCATATTTTTACACTTTTGTGGTGTTTGTGTTAGGCTGTAATTTTCTGCTCTCTCATTTACTGTTCCCATACAAATTATATATTGTTTTTTTTTCAGGACAAAAGGGGCTTTCTTTACATACCATTATTTATATAATCTCTTGTATTTTAATTTAAAAAAAATAAAAAAATATGATGAAAAATTGAAAATAATCTCTGGTTTTTTTTAATTCTACTTGAAAAATCTTTTACTCATCTTCAAAAGCGAATGAAAAAAACTGCTAAATAGATTCAAAATGTTGTCCTGAGTTTAAAAATACCCAGTGTTTACGTGCTTTTTTTGCTTTTTTTTGCATGTTATAGGGCTATAGGTACAAGTAGAATATTGCGGTTTCAAAACATACATTTTTAGAATTTATCAATAGTGACATTGTAACACTATTATCTGTCATAAATCTCTGAAAAACACCCCACATGTACATATTTTTTTTAAAGTAGACAACCCAGGGTATTCAATATGAGGTATGTCCAGTCTTTTTTAGTAGCCACTTAGTCAAAAACACTGGCCAAAGTAAGCATTCATATTTGTTTGTGTGTGAAAAAAGTAAAAAAAGTAAATTGAACGCTAATTTTGGCCATTGTTTGTGACTAAGTGGTTACTAAAAAAGACTGGACATATCCCATTTACAATACCTTGGGTTGTCTTCTTTTGCAAATGGTATGCCATCATGGGGGTAATTCTGATTCTTGGGCTACCATACACTCTCAAAGGCAACGTAACCAACCTGGCCATTTTCAATGTAAAAATATTTAACCCATATATTTGACCCTGTAACTTTCAAAAATACTATAAAACCTGTACATGGGGGGTACTGTTTTACTCGGGAGACATCGCTGAACACACATATTAGTGTTTAAAAACTGGAAAACGGATCACAACAATTATATCATCAGTAAAAGTGCTGTTTGTGTGTGAAAAATACAAAAAAAGTAACTTTCACTGACAATATCATCGCTGTGATATGTTTTACTGTTTTGAATCACTAATATTTGTGTTCAGCGAAGTCTCCCAAGTAAAACAGTACCCCCCATGTACAGGTTTTAGGGTGTCGTAGAACATTACAGGGTAAAATACAGTGCTAGCAAATTAAATTCTCTGGACTTTTGGCCTGGGTTGGCAGGCAGGTCCCTCAAATTGCAATCAATAAAATTACTTAATTATGTAAAAATATTACATACATACGCACATAGAATTTAAATAATATGCATGTTTATATATTTGAAGTCTACGTGTATATTTATATAATTATTTATGTAATTTTGTATGGACAAATGTATATTTTGTATTATTTGTATTTATTTATATATACACAGATATATATACAAATTCATTCTAAGTGTATTTTGATATAAATATATATATATATATATTAATTTTAAAATATTACAATATACAATATATATAGTTATTATATATATTATATATATACGTGTGTAATTTAATTATAAGTGTATTTTTATATTAATATAAGTACATATTAATATAAAAATACACTTAGTATGACATTATATATATGATATATAGACATATATTATACTGATATAATATATGTCTATATATCATATATATATATATATATATATATATACACATATATAATTTTTTTTATTTTTTATAAACACTAACTTTATTTTTTTTAATGATTTTACACTAGCAGGGAGACTGCCTGTCAGCACAGACAGTCCCCCTGCAGGCAGACACATGGACACCTATTGTGACCATGTGATCGCTGTTTTAAGCGATCACATGGCCAAAGGGGTCCTAATCCAGTGTGGGGAGACTGTCTGTGCTTCAGGTAGTCTCCCCACAACGGGAGCAACGCTGATTGCCGCCGGGGGAACGACGGCGATCAGCTAAGTAACTAGGACGTTAGGACGGTTCAGGACCGTCATCGGTTGGCAATGGGAAAATGCTGATGATGGTCCTGAACCGTCCTCGGTCCTTAAGGGGTTAACTGCACCTCTGTAAACTGAACTACTAGTTGACTCACGTCAATAACATCCTATAATCGATTTAGATACGGTATTTTAAAAGAAAGAGAAAATTCACGAGCTCCCCCATCTCTTAGCATTAATAAAGAAAAATATACATGCATTTTTAAAACATACCTTTTATCCCATGTGCAAGTATAGGTGTAATTAACAAGTCAGCATCCTTTCCAGCACTATCATTTAGTCGAAATTCTTTAGCAACAGAATATTCTTTATCTTGATGATTGTTTGGATAGAAAGTTCTGCTTGATCTCCACATTTTCAACACCTTATCAACTTACAGGTTTTTAACAAGTGTATTTACAGAATAAAAAGCATATTATCCATGTCTCTACCTATTTACTCAAAGTAACATGAAGACACAAGATTTAAGCTCCGTCTTTGATCAGATACTGCTCGTTGTTTACCTGTCAGCCTATCCTTTTTTCTTAGGAATATGCTGATAAATTTTCACCAGACATTTCCTAGTTAATGCTTAAAATAAAATAAAATAGTTTAGACAAGTAATGATAGGCTTCCATTCCTAGGTAAATAAGATGTAATATGATATTACCTCACTGCACTGGAAAATGTATTTTAACAGATGAGGTAATGACGTTAGTTAAGAATACCAAGCTATGCTGTTAAGTTCTCGATAATTTGTGCACAACTTTAAATGACACTGTCATGTTTCATGTACCCCATCTCCCTTTGGATTCTAAGCTCCAAGGTAGATCCCTCAAAACCTACTATAACCTACAATAACCTACCAACACTTGTGCAATATGAAAAATAGAACAATCAACAGCAACAGCGCTGTGGAATACGTTGGTGCTTTATAAATACCAGTAATAAATAATAAAATAAATAAATAAACATGTTGTTTCCAAGGAGATTGCTCCACTTAACTCTATTTTTGAGACTGTATAATTTACTGTCTGTAAACTGAAAATAGCTTAGATTTAAGCTAGATTAAGTGAATTTAAGAAGACAATGAGGAATTCAGAATATAAAGTGGAGGAAATGCAAAGTTAGAGGAAAGATGGTATAGATATAGATTGTATAGATAAGTCATTGCAAACTCATAATGTCATGCATATATCACTTCACACAAAAACTGACAATAATAATTTATTCATATGCACCTAGATAGTTTATGGATATGTGTTATGAAGTCTAAAATAAAGTATAAAATCTGAAACATGATGAGATTTTACATTTTATCAGCTATCTGGATTAACTAGGATAGCACTAAATATCCTACTTTGACATTACAGACACCAAAATGCATATATATGTTGTTTCCACAGTAAAGAAAAATAATTATTTGATCTAGGTGAAATCTCATTTCCTCATGTTTCAAGTTGATAACCTATTGTCCTTTCTATGGTCATATCATTGAACAGATAACGGATAGCTGTTTGTATTATAGTGTATATAATTCTAAATGATTATCACATCCCCTCTGAGAAGCTGTTTTTTTGCAGTGTGTAAAAATTATTTCAAGAGTAATTTAAAAGAAAAAAAAAATGTTTGTAATACATTTAGACAACAATGCTAGAAGCATAGCTGTTTCTCTTACAATTTTAAGCAGAGTCTGGAAGAGATTACAACATTTTTGTCATAGACATAATTATATCATGTAATGGAAAGTGACTGATGATGTGGTGGTAGCAGATTTAAGTGGTGATCATAAAGTGAGTTAGAACATAGCTTGTTTGTTATTATTAATGTGAACAGTTCTATATTCAAACAGCCTGGTTAAGCAGACTAGAAGAAAGATCTAGCAGTATACAATGGTTAAACAGGGGATGTAGGGTAGTAGCGCTTAGCAATTAAAGTCCTTGTTTGGAGTCTAATGGAGCCAATATAAAGGAGAAAACAAAATGGGACAGGAATACTAATATAGTGTAGTATGTCTGTAACAGCAGAGGCAGAATATAAGGAATAAATATATTGCACTCACACTTTTCTGGAGCTCAATATCAGCTCCAGATCACAGAGTATGGACGGTCCTGATTTCCTCTGGTATCGTATCCCTGTGCCAATAATCCACGTGGTGTATTCCAGATGATGCTCCAGTGATATATATAGGATATAAAAGAACAGGAATAGTGTTCTCTGTATTTATAAAACAAAATAAAGAGATAAACTCACAATGGATGAACAAATAGGGATTGCTCAGTCCTCTACAGCATAGGGGGTTTGTCCCAATAAAAGATGTCCAATGAAGGTCCAGGGGTACAATGCAGATTAATTTTATTAGAAAAATAAAAAGTAAAGTAAGTAACACACTAACGTGATTCACCTATACAGAAGGCTTTTTCAAAAGAACAGGAATAGTGTTCTCTGTATTAATAAAACAAAAACCTGTTCTTTTGAAAAAGCCTTTTGTATCAGTGGTAGAAGAAAAGAAGAAAAAAAACACTCAAAAAGACAAAATACACACACTGAAACACATACAGATGCAGACACTGAAATACATAGGGATACACACATACACAGGTACAGACATACAAAGACAGATACACATACACACAACTGCATACACAGACACACATGCAGATATACAGTTACACACATCCAGATACACAGATGCACAGATACACTCACTGACAAACATGCAGATAAACAGACACACTAGCACACATACAGATAAACAGATACATACACGGACCCACATGCAGATACACAGACACACAATAACACACATACATATACAGATGCACAGATATACACACTGACATACACTAACACACATACAGATACACAGACACACACACTGACACACATGCAGATACACAGACACATAGAATGATGCAAATTTAGATACACACACTTTTACACATACAGACAAACATTTACATGCACAGATACACATACACACACACACAGATACACATACAGACAAATACACACACAGATAAACATACAGACAAACAGATATGCATACAGACACACAGTTACACACGTACAAACAGATACAAAGACACAGATAGGCATACGGACAGACAGATACACATCCAGACACATATATGGATACAGACACACAGATACATATAAAGACACACAGATTAGCATACGGATACACAGATACACATATGGACACACAGAAAGACATACAGATGCACAAGTGGACACACACACAGATACAGACACACATGCAGATACACATAAAGATAAACATACAAACAGGTACATAGACACACAAAAACAGATACACATAGAAACAGATACACAGACACACATACAAACAGATACACATACAGACACACATACAGACACACATACAAACATGCAAAATGTACATTGTTTAGTCATCCTCCTGTGTCCTACCTTTTAGGTCTAGGAGGATGACTCCCCTGGGGTCCAGTGGCTGCCTCAGGCGGATGAGTGTGAGCTCTGACTCCCTCCTTCCTCCTCTCCTACTTCTCCTCCTGTGTGGCGCTCGGTGAATGCTTGGAGGCAGTGACCTCCTCCCAGCATTGTAACATCATTTTAAAGTGCTGCTGCGCTGACCGGGCCCCTGAAAATACATTGCCTCATTGTGTGGGCCACAGTGGTAGTTCCACACAGGCTGCACGCACCACGGTGGCCGGCGGACTAAAGAGGCAGCTGCTTTGTTCCCTGTAGGATGACAGGGCCCAAGGCAGCTGCCCCTTTTGCCCTGTGTTAAAGACGGCCCTGCTCACCATGTAAAAAACCTGTAGTATCGCAGGCCACCCCTGTTACTCTTTTTGTCAGTGGCTGACCTATATTGTGTACAACCCTGAATTATTATCTACTTCACCTCTACATCCTCTCTTTCTGGTGGAGACACCTCAAAAATATGTACAATGAAGCTTTATTAATCTCACAAAAATAGAATGAAAAGAACTTTACATGAATAACACTCTTGATTATCGCTTCTAGTTTGCCCAACATTAGTTTGTGTATTTTAATTTGTAAGTGTGTACTTGCTTTATTTTAAAGGAACTCTAAAGGCACCCAACCACTTTATCTAATTAAAATGGTCAGGGTACCATGTCCCCACATTTTAACTTGCCGTTGAAAACATTGCCATTTGGCAGGAACAGCAGTATTTTCATTGCAGTGTTAGCATGCTTTTAGGGGCTGTCATACTGGCAGTCACGAGAACTGCATCTGCGAAACAGTGGAGGTAAACTTCACTTATTCTCTCCGATGGTGTCAGAGAACCATCTGATTGGCACAGTGTGGCTTTTGCCAAGCATGCACACTATGGGAAAGCATTGGGTTGGTTGAGATTATCGATCACAATGATCTCAGCCAAAGAGGTGGAGCTTCTCCGAGAAGGCAAGTTAGGTACTTTTTTTAACTTAGGCAGCGGGGGTTCCCATCACCACTATAGAGTTAGGAATGCATATTTGTGTTCATAATACTACAGTGTTCCTTTAAGTCTATTATTGAAAAAAAATGAGAATGCATCTCCACTATAAATAAATTGATTTCATAAACATTTGACTCACATGTAGTAAACAATGGTTCCAGTATTTCTGTGCCAACATTCTTCTAGAATGTATTCCAAAATAGTAACACAAAAGAAAATAAATACAGTTACACACATGAATAATGCAATAATGCAATAATACACATTGTAAAAAAAGGCACAATATCATAGCTTATTAAATAAAAATAATTATAACATCAATAAAACCAAAATAAACTGCATTTTAAATACAATCAGATTTGTACAGTTGTTTTAGTGCACTTTATCACGTAGATAGTGCACTTGAAAATACCGTAATAGATTTTGAAGTATATTTCCTATCAGTTCTTTAGTGATTTGCTTGCCACTTTAAAGGTGTAGTGCACTTTATTGACAGATTTTTGCACTTTAAAAATACAATGTGGGATATTAAGGAGTGATCAAAGGCACAGTGCACCGAATTATAACATCACAATAGTCTTAACACATGAAATACTGCATATATTTTGTATAATAGTATTCTGTTCATTTGTATTTATAAATGTAGTAAAAATCAAAGTAAGTACCTGCTATATTGCAGAGTTATATTTCAAGAAATATCACAGATATATTGCAAAGGCACCAGTGATAGATTTTCCCTTCAGTTTATTGCAGGTTGCAAATGTTTCACTAGGTGGCAGTAATGCATTAAAGTTGTGCTGTTCAGTGCATTGCCTTGGTTTGAAAATGTTTCAATTTCAACCTTCAAAGAATTTTGCATTCTACAGGTCACTTATTTATAATGATGCCTGTGTATCGGAGGGTATATTTTTTAATAAGTTATACTTTGCAGG